TATATATATTATATGAGAATAATGGAGGTGAGCTGGCAGCTCACGCTACCCCCGTGAGCTTGCAAGTGTATGACATGTGAGCCCCTACTAGTCACATGGTGTGGGGCTCAACATGTCATACACTTGGCAGCTCACAGGGTAGGTGAGCTGCCAGCTCACCTCCATTATTCTCTCTCTCTCTCTCTCTCTCTCTATATATATATATATATATATATATATAGTATATATATTATATATATATATATATATATATATATATATATATATATATATATATATATATATATATATTATATATATATATATATATATATATATACATATATATATATATATATATATATACATATATATATATATATATATATATATAATATATGTGAGTATGTTTGGTACAAAGCACAAAAGGTTGTGCTTGTAGTGAGGTGTCAAATCTCCCTCCACTCATTCAAATATGAAACAAAATCACATGGGAGTGAGTGGATGAGGATATGACACATCACTACCAAGCACAAAAATTTTGCTTGGTACCAAGCATACACATTTTCATATATATAATATATATAATATATATATATATATATATATATATATATATATATATATGATATTAATATATTATATCAAGAAGAGAGAGAAGAGAGAGAAGGAGGAAGAGAGGAGAAGAAATGTGTATGCTTGGTACCAAACACAAGTTTTTGTGCTTGGTAGTGAGATGACATATTCTCCTCCACTTATTAAAATCGAGGCCCATATTCACATGAGTTTGAGAGTGGTTGGAATTAGAATGAGTGGATGAGAATAAGACACCTCACTACCAAGCACAAAATTTGTGCTTGGTACCAAATATATCCATTTTCTCATATATATATATCAGACTATAATCGAAATTTTACAGTATTAGGGTGGATGTGGGCCGGGCCGGGCCTAACCCGGGCTCGTCCGAGTCAGAGTAGACCAGGTCTATTTCTCTCATCTTGGGTTTGGGACTGGACCCAGCCCGGCCCACAACCCGCCTATACGACCCGTGAGTCGTGGGCTGGCCCATGGGGTTTTCATCTAAACTTTTCTTATTTTTTACCTTTTTAATTATATTAAACTTGCGTTTTCAATTATAAAATTATTTTTAATTATTTTTTTAATAATTTAAATTTTTATTAAACTATTTTTAAACTAGTATTAAATTTTTTAACCCTTCAAAGTAGACATCAGCGCGCTTAAAGATTATTGTTTTATTTCTCAGTGGGCCAAAAAGCCCACAAGCAAAATACCTATGCCTTTTTGGCTTTGTTGGCAACCAACTCAAAGGGCTAAAGGAAAAGCTAGTTGCAGACCCAAAGGATTAAAGAGAATAACTAGTCCAACTAAAAAAATATATCATGGGCTGGAGTGGGTCAGGCCGGGTCAGGCGTGGGCCGGGCCTACTTATCTGATCCCGAGTTTGGGGCAAGACCTAGCGTGGCCCGTGACCCGGGTATATCATGGGCTGGGTCGGGTTCGACACACTATGCGCCAGACCGGGGTCATGACTCATGACAGGCTTGATCAGGTCAGCCCGCGGGTCTACCCTGCCCACGCCCAACCATTGCAACATACAAACAGCTAAATGAAATGACCTAAACATGGTGGGTACCAAGAGAAACAGGAAGAGTACCTTTAACAATATATGAGATGACAATTTTGATCGTAGTCACAATCATGGGTCAATTCTCTCGGTCACGATATTAGCTGGCTTCATAAATCTAGCGGTCCAATAGTATAAACCGGTCATCAATTCAGGAGATTCTGTGGATTTGATCAAACATGCATTGATTTCGTGCCCATAGGCAAAGCAAATGATGCTTGAGCTAGCACTGTCAAAAGAGACTGGGTTTGAAATTGTGGCATCTTTGACTATGAATCATGTTCAATTATAACAGGATGATATATGGTTAGACTTATTTCTCATGCTCAACATCCAACTGTATAAGGACTAATTGCGAAGGAAATTGCAATTAAATACCCTATAGTTTCCCCTGCTTTGCACTTATATACCCTCACTTGTTTTTTTGGAATCACTTATATACCCTAAAATTTTTAAAAACTTGCACTTACATACCCTCACTTTTTTCGATAGCACTTATATACCATAAAGTTTTTAAAACTTGCATTTAAATATGCTAAATTTTTTAAAACTTGCATTTAAATACCCACAGTTACGCAAACTTGAGGGCATTTAAGTACACATTTTAAAACTTTAGGGTAGTTAATTGTCAATTTTAAAAATATTAGGATATTTAATTACAAGTTTAAAAACTTTAGGGTATACAAGTGCTACTAAAAGCAAGTGAGGCAATATAAGTACAAGTTTTAAGAACTATAGGGTATATAAGCATTGCTGAAAGGAAGTGAGAGTATATAAGTGCAAAGTAGGGGAAACTACATTATTTAAGTGCAATTAAGCCAATTGCAAATAGAGTCCATGGACCTTGTAATATCATTATTTTGAACTGTTGGGGTTGAACACACAACCCGTGCCCTTCCAGATCTTGTGTCGAAAGTAAGCAAGCAGGAAATCACAACAAATAAAAGAAAAAACTTGCAGGAAAGAATAATCAAACAAAGAACACCAAATTTAACGAGGTTCAACAAACGGCCACACCAAAAAACTTTGATTAATTGAAGAAGATTACAATGCTCGCAATAAGCCTCTCTCTCTCTAATATCTCTGATCTCAAAGTGCCGTCAAAACCCCCTTTTTTGTGTTCTACAAACCCTAAAAACATATCAAGGTATATATAGTATCCCAGCCCAAAACAGTTTTCCAAATCAATTAGGAAACTAGAAATCCCGACATCAATCGACCGGTGCATTGGCGTCGGTTGACCGGCCAGAACGTCTATTTCTTACAGTCTGCTCGTGCATGTTGTCGGTCGACCCGGCTCAGTGCCATCGGTCAACCGACCCGAAACTCTTGTAAGTTTATTGGGTTCGCGTCGGTCGACCGATGAGCTTGTGTCGGTCGACCGACCAGAGCGAACTTCCTAGGCTCGATTCCTACAAGCTTTTCGGTCGACCAGCTCAAGCTTGTCGATCGACCGATTGGGGCTTTTCTGCTTCTTTGATGATTTCTTTTTCAGGTTTCGGTCTTCACACTTCCAAAACCAACATGAACTTACTATTCTTATAGTTTTATTTTCGCAAATAGATCCCCCAAAGTGAATTTTTGAACCTTTTTACCCTTAGGGACCTGTTACTCAAAAAACAATTTTCTCATATTAGGGTAAAAGAGTTCAAAAGAAAAAAAAAAACTCATTTAAAAACATTATGGTATTTAAATGCAAGTTTTAAAAACTTCAGGGTATTTAAATGAGAATTTTAAAAAGTTCATTGTACATAAGTGCTGCCAAATAAATGAGGGTGCATAAGTCTCAGTTTTAAAAACTTTAGGGTACATAAGTGATGCCAAAGACAAGTGAGAATATATAAGTGCAAATTAGAGGAAACTATATGATGTTTAAGTGCAATTAAGCCCATTTGAAATGATGAAACAGGAAAAATGTATTTGAAGGACAACGCAAATTAACTTGTTACCATCGAAATTAGTAGTTCTATAACCTTCCTATCAAACCAACAGTCTACTCTCAACACCCAAATGAATATCAAAATCACAGAAGACACCAAGAATTCACATTTGATCTCTCTACTTTAAATTAAAGAAGCTAACCACACAAATTAAACACCAAGAAAAGGTATGCAAAGGACACTGAAAGTCTAGTTAGTGGAATTAACAAGTTGGTAAGAGAACTGGCCATGGATTTTTGATTGAACAAGCCTAGTAGACAAAAGCAAGCAAGAATGAGATCAGTAATCACGGCAACATCAAGCTTCAAATATTCTGCTAACAAGAAAAAAGATTGGTTCCCAGGACACCGCAAGTACTGATAGTCCATTTGTTCAAGATTTTTCGAATCTGACCGTGACACACGTAATGTTGTCATTTACTTCCTCGGGCAAAAGCCTCTTCTGTAAGCTTTCTTGACGCCCCTTCAGCATCAGATGTGCCCTGCACAATGGCCGCAGCTTCCTGAACGAAAAGCAATGAAAATCTTGTAAGATACGCACCACAATGCCTACAAGTTTAGTAGAACTCCCAAATAAAACTTCCAAATTCCACATACATCTACGCGAATAAACACAACCGAGTAAAACTTCAAGTCCGTAAATGAATCAAAGCGAAATTCAAAATTTCTACATATGCAGAAGGCAGGGCAATAGATGTTTGAAAACAAAAATTAACAAATACGGATAACAAAAGCGTAGATATTTGTACGTTTTGGCTGCAGGTATAGTTTAAGGAAAATTAAAAATTTACAAACAGATACCTTATTGGACAGAGCATTCCAAAGTCCCTCACTGGGAATAATAAGGAAGTCAACACCCTCTATCTTCTCTTCCTAGGCATTAAGACAAGAAACATCATCTAAGTACATATATTTAGTGTTATGCATATAGTATAACTTAATGGATAAAACAGTTGCAAACATCTACTTCTTAAACGGTGATTACACATAGTATGACTCATGATGCCATGCTAACAAAATATCATCAACCAAAATGTCACAACGCATAAATCAATTAATATGATATCAGAGAATGATTACATATCAATTACTTCAAAAGAACCTATTATATGTTGTATTTGGGAAATTCTCATCTTTTATACATATAGTAACACTGACATGACTATGTAGTGACATGACTAATATATGCAAGTCTTATCTCTGTAAGCTTAATTATCGAAAATGCACATCCATTTCCACTATGGTACAAGTTCTAAGTATCATCTAATACTACAACAAAAGTTGTATGTGTCCACACTTATTTTATGACACATATGAAAGTATCATTTTATTTGCAAAAAATTAAACAATAGTGATACAAATAAAAATGGTAACAAATCACGACACATATTTGTGTCATTAGATATACAATTAAATGGTAAATAGGTTTATGATCCTCCTGCACTTTCAATTCATTCGCGCTCGTCAGACCTTTCTGGTTTATGATCAATAGACAATGGAATTGCTGCAGTGTAGAGCATGTAGTTACTGATAATAAAAAACAATCAAGAGAAATGTTTGGTAGGCTCAAATTTGATACAAATCACGATAGACAATTCATTTTCCTAGAAAGTCCACCCGTTATTGTGGCATTTCAATTATATGAACTTCTCTACATCATTGAAACTAAATATTTCCAATATTTTCCGCATTTTCGAAGACAAACGGACAAACCTAGGCCAGCTCTGAATGCTACCACTCTGGAGTCTCCAACATTTGCGACAAGAAGCTGATCCCCTACCAAAACAGCTGTTGTTGCAGTTGAGCCAGCACCTTTTTGGTGAGTTTTTTCTTCGTTAAGATAATCAGTATCTGTTTGTCTAAAAAGCTTCAACTGCGATAAACAATGTAAACCACAAGGAGAAACAACAGGCGTAATATAAGTACAAGAATATTGACATTCACAGAAAAGAGAGGAAGAAAGTATCAGCACTGGAAATCCACCAGCCAGCATCAGTAGCTGAACGTTAAGTTGCTTTATAAAATCTGATGACCGCCAAAGTTTTGACTAGATTGTTTTTCAGATATTCTCAGTTCTGAACCTCCATGATCTACATCAATACATATACACAAGTGGAAGAAGTAAAGAGGTTGTTTTTGTTTTTTTTTTTTTTTTTGGGGGGGGGGGGGGGGGGGGACTCTCAGATGTTGCCCAAATATAAACTAACTAATTCTTCAACGTCACCGAAAATATGAAGGGTCAATGGTAGATACCGCTCGTACCATTCAGAATAGGCCACTTGTTATCTCTAAACTCTTTCGTTACCATTTTGATCTCCTATTTCAAACAGAGTTCTCTCTCCATTACATGTCACAGAAACATGAGTGTCATGAGACATCAATATGTTGCAAGGAGATCCTCTGATATTTCTGTGTGTTTCAAAGAGACACCATACTTTTTTAATAGTTGTTAGTTAAACATACACCCTATAAGTATGATTAAGAGAGAACGGAGAGAAAATTCTGTTTGGGCATTAGGGTCTAAATGTTAATATAAAAAAGTTTAGCAGTAATCAGTGGCTAACCCCCTATAGTACGGGGGTATATTTACAATTACCCAAATATAAGAGCATGTTTGGCCACTACTTATTTTTATGAGTCCTTATAAGTTACTTATTCTTAAAACTTCTTATAAGTATGCAAGAAAATAAAGAAGTTGTTTAGTAATCCCCTTAACTTATAAGGAGATATAAGTAGTTATGTGTTTGGTAAGGTTGTCTTAAATATCAAATGACCAAAAAGGACATTGTTGTAACTCCATAGTGTGACTTATTAATACATTTTATATTAACCAGATAATTATAATAATAAACTAATTAATTATTTAAAAAGTGAATAATTTATAATTAATTATTTCAAATTAATTATGATTATTAATTAATAAAATCGACATTAATTAATTAATTTCATTGTAATGAAATATTATATTAATAAAATTAATTAATAAAAAACTAGTCATCCCATATAAAAAATATGTGATTTAAATATTTTTATATATTGAATTATATTGAATTATGATAGTATATATAATAATAATATCATATATTATTATAATATTATATTATTAATAATAAAATAAATAACAATTAATAAATAAATCAACTAATTAATTAATAATATTAATCACTTTATGATAAGAAAATATTTAACTAAGTAAAGGCAATAGGAGGGTATTTATGTCTCTTGGCCAGAATAAAAAGAGTTCCTTATAAGTAGCCAAAAAATAGGTTTGGAAATCCCAACTTATTTTTTGGCTATTTATAAGTAATAAATAAGTAACATAAGTGACTCTTACCAAACACAATATTGCCAAATTATAAGTAAAAAGTTCATTATAAGTAGAAATAAGTAAGTTGTCAAACATGCACTAAGTATACCAACAAGGCTAGTTGAGGTATATTACAAAGGAATGGTAAGCATACCATCAAATACACAAAAAAAGCAACCATCTGACCATCAACTTCAGATATCATTGTCTTGTAAAATTCTTCTATTGAAGCCCGTTTACCCTTAAACGTTGAGTATCCATAGTTGAACTTCCTATTTTTATTGCCAGTAATAAAGCTACCAAAGCCAATAAAGGAGTTTTAGGGTAAAGAACTAATTTATTATTAGACTCTAATTCATTTAGGATGGCAAAGTTAAAAAACAAGATCAACTAAACCAAAAAAGAAAAAAAAGATGGTTCACTTTTGACTTTGCAAAATGCAGCAAATGGTTAATTCATGTCGATTTTCCAGTGTCACAGTAGCTCTAAGCAAAAATTGCATTGGAACAACTAAATCTACCTATCTATTACATCTACTAAGGGTCTGTTTGTTTTGCAAAAAATTGCAAAAAGTGGGGGAAAGAAAATGAATTTTGATGTTTTTCTCTACTTTTTGATGTTTGGTTCATCAAAATTCGGAAAGAAAGTGAGGGAGAAAATGAGTTGTCACCATATTATTGGATGAGATGAGTAATTTTTTATGATTTCCTCCACTTTCTTTATTTTTTGTTCTTTCTTGTGTTTGGTTCATTCTTAAAACTAAGAAAATAAATGAGAGAAAATGAGCTGTCATTATATTATTGGATGATGTGACTCATACTTAAAAAAATTAATTTCCTTGTTTTTTAGAGGAAAGGAATGGAAGGAAATTTTAATGAGATGTGATGAGTTGTCACCATATTATTGGATGATGTGAGTAATTTTTAAAGATGATAGAAAATGAAAGAAAGTTGGGTGAGGTGAGTTAGATGAGTTGATTGATGTGACTCATTGCTTGTGTTTAGTTTATTTTTAAAAGTAAGAAATGAGATGTGATAGGATGAGTTGTCACAATATTATTGGGGGAAAGTTGAGAAAGTGAAGGAAAGTGGGTTAAAGAAAGTGTGGGAAAGTGAAAAAGTGAAGGAAAGTGGGTGTTGGATTTCTGGGGGAAACGAAACAAACAGGCCCTAAAACAACGACCACTAGTTATAGAAATGACAAGTGACAAGCTGATTTGGTTTTCATATTATTATTATCTTTTGCAAATAATAATTATCTTATCTGCTATAAAAACATGTCTTTTCACTTGTAAGGTTACAAAAAACACTAGGTGGCTTGGGCACGAGACCCGGTGCCTAGGTAGGACCTAGGTGTTTTTCCTCTTTTTTAGTTACAATAATTGATAATATATGCCAATGTTGTAGAACGTGTTAGGCACTGCTAGGCGCCTAATTGACGCCTAACACCTAGGCTCATAGGCAAATTTCTTTGTTTAAGTGATAGTGGATGAGGTTTTTTGAAAGTCGGAGGAGGCAGGGGAGGCGTTCATAGTTAGTAAGAGGTTGGAGCAGTTCAGAGGTTGGAGGACATGAAGTTTTGTAGCAGAGTAAATCACGACTAATAAGACCTAAGCTATGTTGTCAGCGGTAAGCGGCTCACTCTCGTATCGCCTCGGCCTAGGCAAGTGCCTAGAGGTGTCAGGAAACAGCTTTCTAAGACATAGGTAACTGAAAATTTCTCAATTTCCTATGCAATGCATGCCCCTTCACCTTCTCTCTCCTCTTCTTGCTTTCCGAAACCCAAGGCCACCAAGTTCTCTCTCTCTCTCAAATACTGCGCACTGTACGGGCAACAAACTAGCGTACGAACATACGGTAATGATTTGAGGATTCAGAACAAGTATAAAGGAACTATATCAAAGGCGATAAAGAATCAATCTTTCCTCAAATTTTGCTAGTGCCAATGAAAAAAATTCCGATTTTGACCTTACATCCGCTCAGCGATAAATTAACGATCGAAATCTATTGAATTAACACAAAAACTGGTATTAAACCAAAATAAGTAAGTAAAAAAAACCGAAAAGAACGGAAATTGATAGAGAAATAGAAAACCTAATTCCCCCGCCGCAGAAGACGGCGCCGGGATCCGATGGCTTCTGCATCACCGAGGGCTTGTTGTCATCACTCGAGGGCGGTGACCGTAAGACCGAGGAGGTGAACTTACCTCCCTGTTATAATAAAGATGATGACTTCTCTTTTGCTCTCAATGGAGATCGTCACCTACGACAACTTCTCATAATTTATGTTGTTGTTGTTTTTTTTTCAATTTTTTTTTGTTTTGCCATGATGAGCAACCAATGAAAGGGTGACACGTTTGCAGATTTGGAGTCGAACCGTGGAACTGTGGAAGGAACAAAAGATCTATTGTGAAATAGATCTATTTGTCTTGATATTTTACATTTTTTCTTTTTTGAGAAAAATGATGGAATACCGTAAAGGTACCCCACCCAGTAGGAGCGCTAAATCGTTTCCATATACGAGGAAATATCCGTAACTGTATTGTTTGCGGTGAAAGTTGCTATTTCCATTGTTATCGAATCTATTACAACTTTAGTCGTTACAATAAACTCGAATGAAATAAAAAGTTGATCTTTTTATAAGATCTCCTTACACAATGAAAATAAAAAAAGTTTACAACTTTTTCAAACAAACGCAGAGATCGTTCATCGGTCTTCTGCTTGCGTGAGATCTTTGCCTGTGCCGGGGTTTATCCGTAGACCACCGTCGATCAGATCTGATTGCTGAAAAATTGGGCAGAGCTTCATCTATCCGCGAAGGGATCGAGAAATCGTAGCTCTTATCTCGGCGAAGCGAGATAATCACTCTTCTTAAGATTACCATAACGGGATAATCTTAAGGAACGGATCCGAGAAACTGTAGATCTGACGAATCTCTCTCTTTTGCGTTGAAGAACTGGATCCGATCTCTCCTCCTCCTCTCTAAAATCCGTGCACCTTCAGTCTTCAATCCGGCAGGGCTTCGCCTAATCTTCAAAATTCCCAAATCTTTAAAAAAATGAGGCCTAAGGCTTGTATTTATAGGCTTGAGGGGATAACTGAGCGGTTAAAACCACTTAAGGCCCAAATCTGCGTTGGAGACACCCTAGGGTGTCTCCACTTGATCCGAGACACCCTAGGGTGTCTCGGCCTTAGCCGAGACACCTTAGGGTGTCTTGTTGGTCCGAGACACTCCATTTAGTGTATTTGTCTGTTTCCGCCATAATTCCTTCGTCCGAACTCGGATTTGAGTGATTCGAAGTGCGTTGGAGAGCCGGCAAGGAGTTCTATCAGCTCCGATGGTTGGATTATCTATAGAATGAATGAGACACGAAGGGCATTGTTCCTTTTGTAAACATCGCGGGGTTCCCGATTAGCCCGTACCTTCATTATTCCGAAATTCTGTCAGCTCACGTAGTTCGTCGATTCACTTCAAGCATTCACCGACGTCAATCGAACTCCTGTGAACCAGATGGTGACGTTCATCGTCTTCTCTTAGCTTTGAGCTGTTCGTGGAGACCTATAGGCAATTTTCGATGCCTACAGATACCCCCTCCAAAGCGTTCCAGACTCGTTTCTTTTATAGAAGAGGCTGTAATACTTTGGATATGATTGGTCCAGCCTTTGATTGGTGTAAAGGACCTGTAGTTAGCTTCAACTCTTGGCTCCTTCGATTTTCGATCTATTCGATGCTTTGACGAATAGCCGAAGTCCTTCCGGCGCTGCGTTTATCGCCTGGCCGTCGTTGGAGTCTCGAGTCTACCACCGGTGAGTTGAGTTTGGCTCGCGTCATTGAGTTGACTTTGAACTGATTATCTCCGTCATAATATATTGATTTGCGTTGACTTTTTTGATCGCAACGCGTTGACCGGCGTTGACCTAGGGTTACGCGTTGACCGGTGTTGATCCTAGGGTTTCGAACGTCGTACGTTGACACAGTTTATACTCGTACGTTTACTGGAGTATACACAGTTTAAGCTCTTAAGGTATTGGAGCACGGCGGTCCCAAGTGTCGGGGTTGCAGGACCAACTGTTAAAGCTGATTCATCTGCATTTGTGGATCTTATTTTAATGTTGTTGGATAATCGAGTCACGAGACCAACTAACAGAGCTGATGCATCAATGACTCGCACTTATAGAATTTTTGGCAAATTCTCAGCCATCAACGGGTTTGATGAGCCTTTACCGACTATCGTTTGAGTCGGGCTAGCATGCAGATTGTTTAGATCCGTTCTGCACATAACGTTGTGCTAAAAGAGTTAACTCTTTTAGTGCTACGACATTGAATACGTAGACTTCGTCTTTCTCATGGGAATAGACTACCCGACAACGCGTGTTAGGCGCTGACTTATCCTTACTTAGGATTCAGGATAAAAATCACCAGACTCGGATTCTGGTGTCTTCTTCAATCGGTAAAAGACTAAACCGGCAACGCGTGTTAGGCGTTGACTTATCCCTGCTTAGGCTTCGGGATAAAATTCCCCAAGTTTAGACCTTGGTGTCTTTTTCAATCGGTGAAAGACTAAACCGGCAACGCTTGGTGTCTTTTTCAATCGGTGAAAGATTAAACCGGCAACGCGTGTTAGGCGTAGACTTATCTCTATTTAGGGGTTGAGATAAAATTCCCCGTGCGCAAAGTGCCCGGATTGGAAGTTGGAAATTGTGTCTTTTCTAAGAACAAAGACAGATTAGAAAATGGGAGAGGAAGAATTTTATATTCTATCTCCCGGTACTGAAGAGGAAGAATTTTATATTCTATCTACAAGAAAAGATGAAACTAAGAGTGGGATCTCCACCCCGAGAATCAGAAAGGTTCAAACGACCCTAACTTTTATAGGATTAGTCATTTGAATCAAAAGAATCCCTCATTCATTGAGGAGAAAGCCCAATTTCGACCCTAACTTTTATAGGTTTGGTGAAAAAGGAACAAAGGCAGATTTTCGTTTATCGAAAAGGAATGACTTAGTCTTAGTCCTAACTATTTGTAGATTTGACTAAGTGAGATCGGGAACAATCCTAACTTTTATAGGTTTGATTGTTCGAATTGAAAGTGGACCTCTCGTTCATGGAAGGAATCGAGAGGAGAATCTGGTTGTGGCCCTAACTTTTATAGGTTTGACCAAGGAAGCAGTGGAAGTGGGAGTTTTGAGTAGGCTTGATCATTCAATTTGAAAGTGGACCTCTCGTTCATGGAAGGAATCGAGAGGGGACTTTGGTTGTGGTCCTAACTATATGAAGGTTTGACCAGTTAGACAGTGAGAGTGGGAGTACAAATCATGGTGGGGGTTTAATGTTTATCACATTGTTCGTAATTATCGGGTTATCCCTAAGAAAATTACATATAGTGTTCTTCCGGGAACTTCCCATTACATGACTCATCCACCCCCAGCTTCTTTCTTGGAACTGGGTCTGACTTTGTACTCCGTTACATGTTTGGGTTATCCTTAAGAATATTAGCGTAACATTCTCCAGGAACTTCCCATCAACGGTAGGAAACAGTTTAGACTCATATACCTATTGGAGTATCAGGGAGCAGTTTAACCTCATATACCGATTGGAGGATTGAGAAGTAGTTTATACTCGTATACTCTTTGGAGTATTGAGAAGTAGTTTATACTCGTATACTCTTCAGAGTGTTGAGAAGCAGTTTATACTCGTATACTCTTCGGAGTGTTGAGAAGCAGTTTATACTCGTATACTCTTTGGAGTATTACCGTTCTTATTTGGCTTATCCTAGCGTTATGACGCCGGCTTCAACCAAGGTTTGGATGCTATTCTTTAAAGTAAAGCAAGCTTTGGTGGGATGAAGGATTCTCCTGTGGTACGCGCAGTACTTCGGATCCGCAGTATTGTCAGCTTCCTCCTGATTCGTGATGGGCGGCAGCTTGATCTTGTTGCTTTTAAGAAGGGTCTCGAAGATGGCTAGAACGTCTTCGTCCTTGAATGAGTACTCTTTTTGGAACCTCGGATCCAAACTATTCTGCTGTCTTTGGGACTGTTGTTGTGACGTCTGATTAACGTCAACAACTGTTGTTGGTGTCTTTCCCTCATTATGGGAAACGAGACCCGGATTCAGAGGATTAGTCATCGGTTGGCATCTTTCAACCTTCCTCCTCCTAAGGAATCGTTCGACCTACTCTCCGCGCGCCTTCAACTCTCTCCAGGTATTGAGTGGCTCTACTCCCATAACGTCCAAGATGTTAATGGACAAGTTGTTATGACAGGTTTGCAAGACGAATTCCTCCGTGACGGGATCCCGGAGATCATACCCAAATGGGACTTGAAGTAGATCAGGTGCTGAGAGGGCGAGCCCTTCCCGTCGAACGGTGTGAAGTTGATCAGGTTGAACTTTGCCGGATACGGAATCGATTCTCATTCTCTTGGGTAAGGACACGGAATGCCGGTCTTCTTTACCTCTTGAGCAGACATTAAAGCGTTAATTTTTATTTCGAGATCCTTCATCTTTTCGGCCTCATCTATATCCTGTTTTGGACAATTTTCGAGAGAAATAATGTGGCCACCCCCAGTGTTATCATCATTGGTGGGTCCACCCCCAGCGTCGTTATTTTTAGTGGGGTCACCCCCAGTATTTTTGGGCGGTGCGTCGGCCATGATGATTTCGTCCACTTCCGGATCGCTGTCAACTGCGGCGTTCTGGGTGCGACGGCTGGATTCAACTAGCTGATTTGCCAAAGCTCGGATTTGTTGGTCGTGCATTTGTCTCATCTCCTGCATAGCCATTTCCATTTCGATTTTGAATGCTTCTTTCTGCTTGGCTAGAGCATCCTCAATGATTTTGGCTATTTGCTCGGTGTTGACCATGAACACTTCCCGAGCTTGTCCTATGCTAGACGTTGTATCGTCAGAGGCGATTGCGGAATAAGAATCCGAGAGTTCGTCATCGGAATGTATTCCTTCATGGACACCCTGGTAATCATTATGTCCAACGGTTTCTAGCTGAAACTGAGATATTTGTTGGGTTATTCCTGAACTGACTCTTCTTCCTGGAGAGAAATTAGGGTTTGAACCACTTGAAATAATCGGAGATTTTTCCTTATTGACCATGTTGATGGTAACTTCTGGGAATTTATCATCTCGAGCAACCGATCCTCTTTGGTGGAAACGCCTTGATTTGGGCTTCGTCGTTCCATCGGAGATTCTCTCGAATATCGAGACCCTCTGCGGAGAGGTCTTGGGGCAGCTACACGTTGATAATACTGCCCTGATAATTTTGATATATGGACAATGAGAGTCCGTTTCTCGGGTACCTTTCTTTCGAGATTTATTCGTACCCCCAGCCCGATAGTACAACTCATCGACGTTGCGGTCGGAGTACCCTATCGGCTGTTTACATAGATTCTCAGGTATAACTCGTTCGTCTGTCTGACGCGTTTTCCTCTGAGTAAACATTACCTTGTTGGCATCTACGGGAGTCACACGTTTGGAATCACACCTTTGTGAGGGTGAAACCTTAACGGGCTCCTGATTTTCTGCACGCACCGCCAAGCGGGCCGTTGCAGAAATTAATTTGTTAGGAGGTCGCGTACGACCCCCAGTCCAGATGTTGGCTCGAAGCTCCTTCAACGATCTACAGCTTTCCTTAACAAGTGCTTTTCCTCGATTCTCGGGTAGGGCACCGATACGATCCTTCAATAGGATTCTAGATTTGGAGAGACCCACGCTGTCATAGGGCTTCACCGGAAGTGCGGGAGCAATACGAGCGGGATCTGGAGTTGACAAAGGCCGGAAGGCAGTTTCGAATGCTTTTGCCTTAGGCGCTGATTTGGCTTTTGGCGCCCCAACTTGTTTGGATCTCGGCGATCTCTTAACTGCCTTTTCCTTTTGCATTTCTTGTGCTTTTTGCACAAGGGTCCGGGCATGCGCAAGCAAGGTGCGACGCTTCTGGATTCGCTCCTCGAGAGTAGAGCGGGTTCTTTGGACACGAACTCATCCGTTAATTGGAGATCGAGAGGAGGATTCCGATGCTGGTCGTGGCAACAGATTAGCCACTCGGCGCTTTCTGAGCTCCAGATCTGCTTGGTAATGGAGACCATCCATCTGATCCAAAGCCTTGGCGAATTGACGCGCGAGGCGTTGTCGTTTCCTTGATAGAGTTGGCACGCCTCAGCAGTCGACTCCTTAATCGTGAAGGAGTTCAGATCTCCAATTTGGCTTCATTGAACGCCGGTGGATCATTGCAAGGTGCAACAGCAACAGCGGCAGAGAGATCGTCTTCTTGGATCTTCAGATCTGAAGACCAGCAGATCTTTCTGGAGGAGGAGCTGCACTTGCACTTGCCAGGAGAGGCGGATCTGGAGGAGGAGGAAGAGAGGTACTCTTCAAACTTTTGACTTTTGCTGGTCGAATTCATATTCGACCTCTTCGAGCACCGGGATCTTGATCGTCGGCTGCGGCACGACAGCTTCGGCGACGAAGCGGTTGGCTCCCACTGTGGTCGCCAGTTTGTTTGCGGTGAAAGTTGCTATTTCCATTGTTATCGAATCTATTACAACTTTAGTCGTTACAATAAACTCGAATGAAATAAAAAGTTGATCTTTTTATAAGATCTCCTTACACAATGAAAATAAAAAAGTTTGCAACTTTTTGAAACAAACGCAGAGATCGTTCATCAGTCTTCTGCTTGCGTGGGATCTTTGCCTGTGCCAGGGTTTATCCGTGGACCACCATCGATCAGATCTGATTGCTGAAAAATTGGGCAGAGCTTTGTCTATCCGCGAAGGGATCGAGAAATCGTAGCTCTTATCTCAGCGAAGCGAGATAATCACTCTTCTTAAGATTACCACAACGGGATAATCTTAAGGAACAGATCCGAGAAACTGTAGATCTGATGAATCTCTCTCTCTTGCGTTGAAGAACTGGATCCGTTCTCTCCTCCTCCTCTCTAAAATCCGTGCACCTTCAGTCTTCAATCCGGCAGGGCTTCGCCTAATCTCCAAAATTCCAGATCTTGAAAAATGAGGGCCTAAGGCTTGTATTTATAGGCTTAAGGGGTTGCAGAGCGGTTAAAACCACCTAAAGGGCCCAAATCCGCGTTGGAGACACCCTAGGGTGTCTCCCAAAATCCGAGACACCCTAGGGTGTCTCACAAAATCCGAGACACCCTCGGGTGTCTCCCAAAATCCGAGATAGTTTGTACCCTCTTCAGTATTTTAGCTCTAATTCTTTCATCCGAACTTGGATTTGAATAATTCAAGATGTATTGGAAAGCTGACAAAGAGAGCTACAACTTACATGTTTTAAGTTTCTTCAGATTCTAACGGGATCATGGTCAAAACAGCTTCACAAGTTCCGAGATACCTTTGGGTGTCTCGGCGCTATTTTCGTCATAACTTCCTCATATGACCTCCAAATGACGTGGATCTAGATGAATTGGAAAGCTGAAAAAAATATCTACAACTTTACTGTTTTGAGTTTCTTCAGATTCTAATGGGATCATGGTCAAAATAGCTTCACAAGTTCCGAGACACCTTTGGGTGTCTCCAACTTGTGTGGACACCCTGGGGTGTCTCCAACTTGTGCGGACACCCTGGGGTGTCTCCAACTTGTGCGGACACCCTAGGGTGTCTCAAACTGGGCCGAGACACTCCGTTATGTCTATTTGTCCGCTTCCGCTGTAAATTCTTCGTCCGAACTCGGATTTGAGTGATTCCAAGTGCGTTGGAAAGCCGACGAGGAGTTTTATAAGCTCCAATGATTAGATCATCTGTGGAATCAACTGGGACACGAGGGGCGTGACACCTTTTGTAGGCGACGCGGGGCTCTCGATCAATTCGTATCCTTGTTATTTTGAAACTCCGACGCTTCACGTAGTTCGTTGATTCACTTCAAGCATTTGCCAACATCAATCAAGCTTCTGTAAACCGGACAGTGACGTTCATCGTCGTTCCTTAACACTGAGCTGTTTGTGGAGACCTATAGGCAATTTTCGATGCCTACATGTATTCGTCAGGATACAGATATGGTTACTCAAATCTATAACTGATAGGATATGACTACGGATATGGTTTTGTAGTGAAATATCTGTATCTGTATCTGAAATATCCAAATATATATTAGTCATACTCTTATGATAGCTTTGATTATTAGATTATGGATTTGTGGTTAATTTTGATGATCAAGATGTCTAATTTTAACTTTTCAGTTATAGTGAACATATTAACGAACTCTTTTATATCACATGAATTATTTTTTTCTCAATACCATCTAGTTTTCTCATATCCGTTTTGTATCCACATGCCTATCCGCTTATATATCCGCATGTTTATCCGTTACCGTGTCCCATTTTAGCAGACATGAATATGAATTTTCCTTACCGAGGTATATCCGTATCCGTATCTATATCCGAGATGGCTAAGCGGATACGGATATGGTAAGCATCATATCCAAACCGTACGTATCTACACCCCTACCAGCCAGCTAAATATCATGTAATATGGTTGTTACAAAAATAGAACATACTCCAAACTCCAAAAGTATGTACTATCAGTTTTGAATACTACATATCAAGCAAAAAACACCACAACTCATGTAGATAAAACTGCCTAAAAGGTTCACCAAAGAGTAAACAAAACTACGGCATAAACCCATATAATATTTTTGCTGATATTGTTTGTACTGATTTATTATTAATAATAGGATGTAACAATCTTTCTCTTTGTAATGGAAGTCATGTATACAATCAAAATAGAACATCAACTGCTTATTGTATGATTCAGAATATTCATGTAATTGAATGCGAGATGTTCTAAAAGGATTTGTAACCGAGGATTGAAAATGAAAAAGAACCTTGATGTTTGACATTGGACATCGGATTGGAAATATGGTTCAAATAAATAGCAGATAGTTATAAAATCCATATATTTTTTTCTTTTGGAGTAAAAATATAGAAATAGATATTCTTCAAATTCTGGAAAAGTTGCAAATCATCGAGATATTCTAACAAGCTAGTGGCACATCAAACCGATGCATCAAAAAATCGCAATATGGAGTGTAGAAGTTATCCACTGTGCTGTTCAATCTGAAATCCACCATAAACAACAAGGTGAACATCAAAAAGATATATTGAAAATGTTAAATTTTCCTTTAGAAATAGAAAAATCTACGTATATATCATGTACTATAATACAATTCCATGGCCAAAACTATACATAAAAGCCCTTATGACAGCGTGATGAAATGTTGCAATGAACTAACTAAACTCGGAGGCCAATGTTTGGTTTCCTTCACATAAGAAAGATCAGTATAATGAGGATCCAAAAGAGTCGCAATTGTGAACTGATTCTCGGCCAGCAGCGGAGCGTGCTTGTCTACATACAATGCTGCAGCAAGAGCTGCATGAACCTCTGCAGTTAAAAAAAAAATTATTTACTTAACATGACTACTAGGATTCAAAGGTAAACATCTGGGTATAAGAAATTTTTTACCTGGGTATCCTTTTAGAGATATCGATACATCTTCCATCTCCGCGATGGATTCATCTCGATTGCCAATTTCGTACAATACCAGCGCTCTGCCTACTCTTGCGTAGTCCGAGAATGCAAAGTCTTTGTAGTCTTTAACCACCTGAAGACACAATAAGTATTAATGTTAGAGCAAAAGGAAAAACTAGAACCTTTTGATAGGAAACACCCCCAATAAGAACGCCTCTAACGGAGACACAATACACAAAATAAAGGCACAAGATCAACCAGAGTACTCACAGATATACGTGGTTCACTCCTTCGGAGCTACTCCACGGTGCAATAAGATCAACCAGAGTACTCACAGATATACGTGGTTCACTCCTTCGGAGCTACTCCACGGTGCAACGACGCCGCCAAATTCTTTTATATCCCAAAAGAATTGATCAAAGAGAACACACACTCTTGATCAGATACACTCCAAGAACTCTCACAAACTCTCTCTTTGTTTTCTCATACTCTTTCTATAAGAGGAGTTGTTTCTGGGATAAGATTTCCTTAAGAGTTTAGGGCCTTATTTATAGTGTTTAAGAAAATACTATGCACAAATATAATATTATCTGTGGGACCCGCCACTAATAATAAAATATTTATGGGACCCGGTAGGACCCGCCACCTTTTTCATTCTTCAAAAAAAACGGCACCGAAATCTCATTTTTCTTTGTGGGGCCCACCTTTGTGGGCCCCACAGTTTGTTTTGTTAGGCTAACAATCTCCCACTTGAAGATTTGATTGAGTATCAATCATATCTTCACACCCTTCTTGGTTGCATCATCTGAATGTCTTGTATATTTGGCGTCTTGCATGGCCCTCAGCATTCTCAACGGAGGCCATATGAGGCTGCACACAGCCTCACATTCTCGAGCGGAACTGGCTTGGTCAGCATATCGGCTGGATTGTACCTCGTATCAATCTTCACAAGCTTGAACTCGTTCATGCTTTGCTATCTCCGTATGGCATGGTGCTTCACGTCAACATGCTTGGTCCGAGCATGGAATGCGTCGTTCTCTGACAAGTGAATGGCACTCTGACTGTCGCAGTGGATGAAGTATTTCTCAAAGCTTACTCCAAGCTCGAGAAGAAAAGCTTTAACCATAACAACTCCTTTGCTGCCTCTGCTGCAGACACGTACTCGGCTTCGGTTGTCGACAAAGCCACAATATCCTGTAACTTGGATCTCCAACTTATCGCTCCACCACCCAAGATGAAGATGTAGCCGCTCGTACTCCTTCTCGAGTCTATGTCCCCGGCATAGTCTGCATCACAAAAGCCCTCTAGCTGTAAATCTGCCCCGCCATACTCAAGACAACGGTCGGACGAGCTTCTCAAGTAGCGTAGAAGCCACTTAACCGCACCCCAGTGTTGTTTCCCTGGATTGCTCATAAAGCGGCTCACAACTCCCACTCCTTGTGAAATATCTGGTCTCGTGCACACCATCACATACATCAAACTCCCGACGACAGATGCGTATGGTATGTTGGCCATGAACTCATGCTCTTCAGCAGTCTCTGGTGCTTGGGTCTTCGATAGCTTGAAATGGCTTGCAAACGGCGAGCCCACTGGTTTAGCTTTCTCCATGCTGAACTTTTCAAGAATCTTCTCAATGTAGGCCTTCTGAGACAACCTCAGCCTTCGTAGTGATCTGTCTCTGATGATCCTCATTCCTAGAATCTGGTTTGCTGGACCCAGATCCTTCATGTTGAAGCACTCGGAGAGACGCCCCTTAAGTTCCTCGATGCGGGCTAAGTCGGGTCCTGCAATCAACATGTCATCAACATAAATCAAGAGTATCACATAGGATTCACCGTATCTCTTGATGAAGCAGCAATGGTCTGTGTCGCATTTGAGAAAATCGTTCTCCTCCATAAAGTTCTCGAACTTCATGTACCACTATCGCGGAGCTTGCTTCAGGCCATACAAGCTTTTGAGCAGGCGACACACGAGGCCCTCCTTGCCTCTTTCCTCGAAGCCCACTGGTTGATGCATATAGATCTCTTCCTCCAAATCTCCATGAAGGAATGCTATCTTCACATCCATCTGCTCTAGATGGAGATCTCGAACTGCTACAATGCTCAGCACAGTTCGGATCGTGGTCAACTTGATGACGGGAGCAAAAACGTCAGAATAGTCTATCCCTGCTTTCTGCTCATAGCCCTTCACTACAAGCCTCGCCTTGTAGCGTATCCGTCCATCGGCTTCATCCTTGACCCGATAAATCCACCGATTGTGAAGAGCCTTTCTCCCTCTTGGAAGCTTTACGAGCTCCCAAGTCCTATTCTTCATCAAGGACTTCATTTCTTCCTCCATGGCAGACTCCCACTCGCCCCGAGCTTTGCCGGTCTGCTGTACCTCCTCATAGCTCTCTGGCTCACCATTGTCAGTCAGGAGAAGGTAATTCATGGTGGAAATGTACCTCTCTGGCATCCTTGGATTTCTTGGAGCTTTGCGAATTGCGATCGGCAGCTCTGCTGGATCCTGCTGCTGTGCATCCTGCACGTTCTCTTGGTCTCCGTCTTCTATGCTGATTGGTATCTCACCGCCATCCTCACTGTCAGCAATATCTGGGAAAAGAGAAGGAGATAGCTGACTCCCACTCACCTCTTTGGTCTTGTACACCGCATTCTCATGGAACACGACGTCACTGTTCGCGGTGAAAATCGTTGCTTTCTTCATCATTGATTCCATTGCAAATTCTTGTAATAGTTTATCGATTACAAAGATCCGGTCTTTTTTTTAGATCCGGTTACAACGAAAATCAAATAAAAAAAGAAATAAAAAAATTACAACTTTCTCCTTATTTGTCAAACAAATCGCGAGCTCCTGTTTTGCGGTCACTCGCTTTGTGGGTTCTTCGCCTGCGCCAGGGTTTATCCGTAGACTACCGCGCGATCTAGATCCGGTCGGATCTACGCAGTACGATGGGTATTATTTCGCCAAGGAAATAATAGCCGAGGGGGGATTGGTTCACCAAGGAAACAATCGCCCAAATCTCGGGATCAAAGACCAAGCTTTGATCCGGAGTGTGCCTGCGTAGATCTGAGATCCGGTCCTCTCGAACTCTTGCCTTATTTGGCGTTGACGATCGCCGAGCACCAGATCTGGATGAGCAAGTCCTCGAAGTCCTAAAGTTTGAATCTTTTTTAGATCTGAGTCTTCAATCCAGCAGGGCTTCGCCTCTAAAAAATCCAACCTTTTCAAATGAACAAAGGGGAGCCTATTTATAGGCTCTCTGAACTGTGCCCGTGCATAGATCTGGGTCGGCCACCCATGGGTGGCCGGCACTGGGCCGAGCCACCCATGGGTGTTGGGTTTCGTTGTTTTGTCCGGTCTCGCGGTTGATTCAGACTCTGATTTGTTGATCTGATTTGGCAGTAGATCCGATTCCTGATTAGGCAGTAAATCCACTTCTGAGTTCGAGTCCGAAACTGATCTTGATTCAATCGTGATTCGTCCGAGTCTGCCCTTGGTTGGATGACTCGTTGACTCTTCGAACCCTTGGCTTGATTTGTCGGTTTGTGCCGAGCTATGCTAGGGGACCTATAAGCAATTTTATATGCCTACAGATACCCCCTCCAAAGTATTTCAGTCTCGTTCTTTTATAGAAGAGTCTGGAATACTTTGGATATGATTGTCCCAACCTTCAGTCGGTATAACGGGACTTTGGAATGGCTTCTGTCTTTGATTCCTCCAATCCTTCAGGCTATTCGGTGCTTTGTCGAATGTCTGTAAGGGTTCCGGTGCTGCATTTATTGTCTGACCGTTTGTCGGAAATTTTGAACCTTGAAGTCATTCCTGATTTTTGATCTTCAGCTCGTAGAATTGACCATCGATTGCTGGCGTCGAGTTTTTATGTGCAACGCGTTGTCCGGCGTTGTGTTGTTGAGTTATCCTTAAGAATATTTATAAAAATATTCTCCAGGAACTTCTCAACCAAAAAATAGGGGATAGTTTATACTCATATACCTTATTGGAGTATTAAGAAGCAGTTTATACTCGTATACTTTTCGGAGTGGTGATTCTTTCATTGCAACGCATTGATTTCGGAGTATTAAGAAGCAGTTTATACTCGTATACTTTTCGGAGTATTGATTCTTTCATTGCAACGCATTGATTGGCGTTGACCTAGGGTTACGCGTTGACCGGCGTTGACCCTAGGGTTTCGAATGTTATTGGATGCTCAATTCACGAGACCAACTAATGAAGCTGATGCGTCAGTGACTCTCGTATTTATAGGATTTTTGGCAAACCCTCAGCCATCAACGGGTTTGATAAGCCTTTACCGACTACCGTTTGAGTCGGGCTAGCATGCGGATTGTCTAAATCCGTTCCGCATGTGACGTTGTGCTAAGAGAGTTAACGCTCTTAGTGCTACGATATTGACTATGTAGACTTCGTCTTTCTCACGGGAATAGACTACCCGGCGACGCGTGTTAGGCGTTGACTTTGGGATTTTTGGCTAACCCCCAGCCTTCAACGGATTTGATTAGCCTTTACCGACTACCGTTTGAGTCGGGCTAGCATGCGAATTGTCTAAATCCGTTCCGCATGTAACGTTGTGCTAAGAGAATGAACTCTCTTAGACTTGATGCTACGACTCGGAATATGTAGACTTCGTCATTGTTATGGGAATAGGCTACCCAACAACGTGTTTTAGACGCTGACTTATCCCTACTTAGGCTTCGGAATAAAATTCCCCAGAATCGAACTCTGGTGTCTTTTTCTTCGGAGAAAGACTAAACCGGCGACGCGTGTTAGGCGTCGGCATATCCCTTCTTAGGATTCAGGATGAAATTCCCCATGCGTGTAAGGCATGAATTTTGGTGTTATTAATAACAACCTGCCACAATGTTGAATATGTGAACGCGGGTTAAGCGCAGACTTATCCTTGCTTAGGTTTCAGGATAGAATACCCCAGAATCGAACTCTGGTGTCTTTTTCTACGGAAAAAGACTAAACCGGCAGCGCGTGTTAGGCGCAGACTTATCCCTGCTTAGGATTCGGGATAAACTTCCACGTACCTGTGAGGCACAGATTTTGGGAGTTTGAAAAAGGTGGTGTCTTCTCTTGGGGCAAAGATAAACCCGAAATGGGAGAGGAAGAATT